ATCATGCTACCTGACTTCAAACTATACTACAAGATACAGTAATCAAAACAGCATGGTACTGGTACCAAAAAGAGATATATAGACCAATGGAACAGAACAGGGGCCTCAGAAATGATGCCACACATTTACAAATATCTGATCTTTGACAAACTTGACAAAAACAAGCAATAGGGAAAGGATTCCCTATTTAATAAATGATGTTGGGGAAACTGGCTACCCATATGCAGAAAACTGAAACTGGATCCCTTCTTTACACTTTATACCAAAATTAACTCAAGATGGATTAAAGAGTTCAATGTAAGACCTAAAACCATAAAAACTCTAGGAGAAAGCCTAGGCAATACCATTCAGGACATAGGCATGGGCAAAGACTTCATGACTGAAACACCAAACGCAATGGCAACAACAGCCAAAATTGACAAATGGGATGTAATTAAACTAAAGAGCTTCTGCACAGCAAAAGAAACTATCATCAGAGTGAACAGAATGGGAGAATATTTTTGCAATCTACCCATCTGACCAAAGGCTAATATCCAGAACTTACAAAGAACTTAAGCAAATCTACAAGAAAAAAACAACTGTATCAAAAAGTAGGTGAAGGATATGAACAGACACTTCTCAAAAGACATGTATGTGCCAACAAACATGAAAAAAAGCTCATCATCACCAGTTATTAAAGAAATGCAAAATAAAACCACAGTGAGATACCATCTCACACCAGTTAGAATGGCAATCATTAAAAAGTCAAGAGACAACAGATGCTGGCGAGGATATGGAGAAATATAAATGCTTTTACACTGTTGGTGGGAGTTAGCTCAACCATTATGGAAGACAGTGTGGCGATTCCTCCAGGATCTAGAACCAGAAATACCATTTGACCCAGCAGTCCCATTACTGGGTATATACCCAAGGAAGTATAAGTCATTCTATTATAAAGACACATGCACATGTATGTTTATTGCAGCACTGTTCACAATAGCAAAGACTTGGAACCAACCCAAATGCCCGTCAATGACAGACTGCATAAAAAAAATGTGGGACATGTACACCATGGAATACTATGCAGCCATAAAAAAGGATGAGTTAATGTCCTTTGCAGGGACATGGATGAAGCTGGAAACCATCATTCTCAGCAAACTAATACAAGAACAGAAAACCAAAAACACTGCATGTTCTCACTCATAAGTGGAAGTTGAACAATGAAGCCACATGGACACAGGGAGGGGCACATCACACACTGAGGCCTGTTGTGGGGTGGGGGCCTAGGGGTGAGATAGCATCAGGAGAAATACCTAATGTAGATGACAGGGTGATGGATGCAGCAAACCACCACGGCATGTGTATAACTATGTAACAAACCTGCACGTTCTGCACATGTCCTCCAGAACTTAAAGTATAAAAAATTAAAGAAGAAAAAAGATTACCAAGGATGGTATTATAAAAATATACTATATACCAGGGGTTTTAGCTCTGGTCTATGAATATCATTTGATTCAGTCTTGACGACAGCATAGAATACACAGTTACCTGAGTCACAAAATGTGTTTTGTTCTCTTTCCCACTTTTGGTAGATCAGTAGTATCACACTGAACAAATGGGAAACTTCACCACCTACGTTTCTAACTATCTATAAACAGCAGTCGCGTATTTGTTGGTTTGAAACCTTTTAAAAATTAAATCATTTTGCATAAGTTTCATGACCTTCCTTTCTTTAGAAAAATGGGTGTCGACCATTCCAAGGAAACAGATGAGGCTTTCTCCAAAAAGCTCCTTAAGGATGGAAAATAGTGGTTCCTCCCTGTACCCATGGGTGTAACAGATTGATTGGGACCCTTAGAATCTCTCTTACAGTGCTCCAGGCAGCCACTACAAATCAGGGTGGGCATGGAAATGAAGACCGATTTCTCTTCTGTTAGCAAATAATTTAAAAGTTTATCACTTTCCAGTATCATATTTTCCATTTTTACACCTGCCGAGTCACAAATGGACTAACAAGTATAAGCAACTTATGTGAATTACTGAGCTAGAAAAACAAGAACAGAGATGAAAATATTCAGCTCACCATCAGCACAAGGAAAAATATGTTCTTCTAGCAATAAAACATTCTACAGAAATTTCATTTAACTGAAGCCCAAACTTAAAGAACATGAATGAAGCCTTAAATTATGCAAAAATGAAGGCTTAAATCTTTCTATTCAAAATACTCAATTTAATGACTTAGCAGTTTCACTGCTTAATTCTTACTACCCATGCCACTACTATCAACTAGAATACTTAAATTAAGCCACAGTGGTAGTGTCAAGGTAAAAAATCAGACAGCTAGGCAGGCAGCTCTTCTTACTTTGGACAGTAGAATACACTATACAGTGAGAAAGCCAAGTATGAAAACCAGTCCCCTCAGCTGGGCGTGGTGGCTCATGCCTGTAAATCCCAACCCTTTGGGAAGCCAAGGCGGGCGGATCACTTGAGGTCAGGAGTTCAAGACCAGCCTGATCAACATGATAAAGCCCCTTCTCTACTAAAAATACAAAAATTAGCTGGGTGGGGTGGCAGATGCCTATAATCCAGCTACTGAAGAGGTTGAGGCAGGAGAATTGCTTGAACCCAGGAGGCAGAGGTTGCAGTGAGCTGAAACTCTGCCACTGCACTCCACACCCTGGGCGACAAGAGCAAAACTCCATCTCAAAAAAGAAAAAAAAGAAAAACCAGCCCTATTACTGACTAATGATGAGCACCCTGGGTCTATTTCCTTTGTGAACATGGGAACAAGACCTACTTTCAAGAGTTGGGTGAGAATTAAATACGTGGACACCACTTGTTATAATGAATGACACTGACATTTAAGAATTGCTCAATAAAAGATACCTTATTTGATAAGTTAAAGTGTTATTGTAAGAAGCTTCAAAGGATTAACAACAAACTTAACTGTGATTTGCTAATCATTGTCACATTAACAAACTGCCAGTCAATTATACCTGCTGGCAAATGACACTAGATAAGAGCAAGATTAGGTCCTTCATTCTTATGTTTTGCTACCACTTCAAAGCTAATTAAATACAGAAGGATCTAATGCCTAGAATATTAGACTTGGACATAAAACCCCAGGACCGACCACAACTACCAGTAGTGGTAACTCCAGGATACTAAAATTTAACATCCATCACCCCAAAAGTTTTGGAGACTGCCCATCTCTACAACAAATGTGTTCAATATTTCCCAAATGAGATAGTAATCATGCTTTTTAAAGCTCTCTGTGAGCAGAAACAGGAAGAGAAGATGACTTAGAGGAGAAGCAGAAGACTGACCAGTAAGTAGCCAGAGTCCACACTGGTCCCATCAGAGACTAATTGCCTCTGGCTTCAAAGAGGAGATACAGGACAGATCAGCCTATCCAAGAGAAAATATGGGCTACATTTTTTCCAGAATCCACATGAAAAAAGAAACAGGTGGGGCAGGAGGAGGAGGAACTAAAAAAAAAAAAAATACTAAAAACAGGTGAAATTAAGATTTTATTTAACCTATATATCCAAAATAGTATTATGTCAACATATAATCAATATAAGAAACATTTAAACCTGTTTTAATTTGCAAACATAATTAAAATTATACAAAATTGCAGGCCAGGCGCAGTGGTTCATACCTTTAATCCCAACACTTTGGGAAGCCAAGGTGGGTGGATCAAGGTACGTGGATCACTTGAGCCCAGGAGTTTGAGACCAGCATGAGCAACAGAGTGAGACCTTGCCTCTAAGATGGAGGCTGGGGGTGGCGCAGAACACCAATTAGTCAAGCATGGTGGTGCACACGTGTAGTCCCAGCTACTCAGGAGGCCGACACAGGATAATTGTGTCATGGCGCTCTACCCTGGGTGACAAAGTGAGACCCTGTCACCAAAAAAAAAAGTAGAAAATAAATAATACATGTTACAAATTTTGTTCCTCAGCTGCAGCAGCCACATGTGAGGTACTCAGTGGCCACCACACTGGACAGGTAAGCCACAGTCATCTTCCCTATAGCGCTCCTCTAAATGGCAGGGCTATAGCAAGAATGGGTCCATATGAATAGCTCCCATCTAAGACCTCTCTATCTGCTGGTTGGAGACTCTGCACAGTAAAATTTGAGAAGAACTGCTTTAGATAACTGGTTTAAATGCACATGTCCAGGTCAGAACCCCAGAAACTAGTAACTACCAAGGCTACGTAGTTCTGTTCTGAAAAACAGATGGTCAAATATGTGTGTTGGGCAGGAACATGTGGTTCCTTGAGAAGATGCTAAGTTTGATTTCTCTTTAACTTTTATCCCCCAGAACAGGATGATCAATAAAGGAGTACCAACCGGGCTGTTCACAATAAGGGAATGGAGATGAGGGGCAGAGTTGAGAAGTGATTTTAACTCTCAGCGTTCAAGATAGCACTAACTAGATTACGTGCAGTGGTCCATTTTGAAAGTGTTTTTATACTTGTAGATGAAGTAGTTCAGGATCTTGGGCTTCTGAAAGTGAAATTATTTTACATGCAGATCAAAAAATGTTCACAAAGAACCATAAAAACAACACTACGTATTTCAATAATTACTATTTTGTAAGTTGACTGTAACATCAAAGGTTCGGAAATAGTTCCAAAAAAGTAGGCAATAGGCTAAAATTCTTTAAATTCTTAAAAATCACTACCAAATTTTGAGCACTGAGGCAAGTATTTTGCTAAGTATCTTAATACTTGTTTACACCCCAAATTCCCCTATGAAGTGAGTATCATTAATTTCATTTTACAGATGAAAAAGACAAGGTTTCATCGAGTTAAATAATTTGTTGAAGGCCACACAGCTCAAACTCAGTTTTGGTTCAGTAACGACTGACTCTAAAACCTAAGCTTACTCTTTATTACTCAGGTCTAGCGGCTGTCTCACAAAAGGTATATGGACATACCTACTACCCAATATAAGCAAAACCTTCTTCCATATGCATAACATATATGTACGTGTTTACATATGAAATACATTACCATCTGTTTCAGGGAGCTCTCTGTACCCAACATCATTTTTATCTACTGGAACAACCAAGCCTGCACCATGGAAGGTCTTTGACACAACCTACATTAAAGAAAAGAATAAAATGTAATCATGGTAAATAGACATAAAAAAAAAAAAAACCCAAAATACATAAACCTTCAACATTTCTACCAAAATGTAACATTCAATGACATTTTATTTCAGTAAATTTGGACTCCAGGGTAAAAAATTAGCACTATTTTTTTTCTTGAAAATTAGCTAAAAGTTAAACACTTGAAGTAATCACAGAACAGTGAAATAACTGGCTTTTCTTAACCGTGCCAGTCACTTGGAAGTCTGCATCCTGATTTGTTAAGGAAGAACCCAATACATCCTAGAATGCAAGCCAAAATACCAGTTTCCTCTAAGGTCGAAGTACCCTCTTGGTAGAAAGCACAGAAGAACCTGGGTCTAAAAGAAAGACAGTAAGAGACAGTTTTTGTCAGCAAGAAGATATGGTAGGACAGAACTCCTTTCATCGATCCTGCCAAATTCAGACCCCTCCTAGTTTTACCTGGAATATTTAGGTTCATTTGCAAACTTCCCAAAAGTAGGGCAGTTTCTAGGTTTGCAATGTCTTCTTTGGAGGCAAATCACACAACCAGTGAGCTTTTATCAAGTGGTAGTCTTCAAAGACAAAAACAGGCCCAACCACAACCATCACCATAGCCCTTCCAGTTTACGTTCTTCCTTTATTTCATGTTAGTGGCATTATTTTTAGGTCTTTCCTTAACAAAACATGGGTACAAATCTTCCACTTCTTTGTGCAATTCAGTGAAAAGTTTCCAAGGTAGAGGAAGGACACAACCCCAAAAATAAACTCCAGTTTTAAAGGCCTCTCACCCAAGTCTCTATATCTTAACGCCTTTCCCTCTATAATCTCCCTATTCTCCCAGTCTCATGCTTCTTTCATTATTCTTTATTAAGGATAATGCCAGAAAGGGCAGGTATTCAAAGGAAGTTATTAGACAACTGCTTACCACTTGGTAAAAAAATGAAGTCATTGTTTTCTATCTTAATATTTATATCAAGGTAATTTGCAGCTGGATTTCAGAATTAAAAATAAAATCATAAAATTACTAGAAGATAAATTTTAAAAAATGATTTTGTGATGGAGACAAAAAAGTTGACTATATAAAAATAAAACTCTAGTGAAATCAAGAACACAAGACAAATTAACTGATAAAATATATCTGCAAAATGTAACAGTAAATAAAAATTAATGTCTTTAAACTATAAGGAAGTCTAACAAAGGAAAAGACTAATATCCAAACTAGAACACATGTAGGAAAAAGACTAATTCTAACCCTGATAGAAAAATGGGAGAGTTCAGGCAGTTAAAAAAAAAAAAAATACAATGGCCAACAGAGAAGTGAAAAATATTTAATGTCCTTTATAGTTAAAGAAATGCCAATTAAAACAATGCAGAATTTCACAGCATGGAAAGAACTAAAAGGACTAAAGAAAACCCCATAAAATTAGAAACAACCAAAGACACACACACACAAACACACAAAACTTTGGACCTGGCAATACTATGTCTAGTAATTTTTTCAAAAAAAAAAAAAAAAAAAAAAAAAAAAAGAAAAACCCAGATAAGCATGCAAATAAAGGTATAAAAGGATATCTATGGCAGGGTTGTCTGTATTTGTGAAAAATCTTAAGCAACCAAACTTTCAACATAAGCACAGTATTCTGCAGCTACTCAAAATTATGAGGAAGATCTTAAATTGGCAATATGAAATGATAGACATATTCGTAAGTGCAAAAAGCAGGACATAAAGCAGTGACAATGAAGAAAAAGACAGCAGTGCTATAGTTGCCAACTCAGGCTGAACAACATACAGTAAGAACCATGGTAGATGTTCAGAGTTTTCAGATGATGACCTATACTAATTGTCCACAAAGAGGTATCAATTAAGAAGTCATCAGAATCATAACATTATGACGAATAAGATTACAAATTTAGGAAAACTGTATAGCAGTGATAACATCCTGAAGCATTGGATCACAGGTGGATGGAGTGACACGCTATCATTTTATGTATCATTTAACCAATGTTCTATATGAATAAATCTAGGTAGGAAAAGGTGAAGTGGCAGAGAGTCAATTAGCAAGAAGATAGGATGGAAACTATGCTAATATGAAAAATATAAAGTTGGGTTTTACAGGTGTCATTTAAGATTTTGGACAAGATACAAAACCTCTATAACCCTCAATTTACTTATCTATAAAACAGGATGATAATTCCAACTTGGCAGATTTGTTGTAGGGAGTCAAATGATGTAAGGACTCTGCATTTCAAAGTATACTAAGTTACTGTCAGTATAAAAACACTGATTTCTAGTGTGCTGTACAGTGCTCTATCATGCTAGAGTGGATATATCCTTACACTCACACACAAGGACAAAGCCAGTAACTCACATATACTAGTGGAATTAAATTCTTTAGTAGAAAAATATGATTTAAATGAAGATCTCAGAAAAGCTATAAAAGAACAACCTTACAATAAAAGAAAAGAGTTTGAAAGTATACTCATCAACAGGGGAGGATTAAAAACATGATTATAATATTTTTTTTTGTCTTTGTTTTTACCAGCTGTTTTTGTATAAAGAACAAATACTAAAATGAAACTTCATGGTGGGGGGATCTAGGACAAAAATATCTATGAAATTTAAACTTCAATCATATCTTACTTATGAGGAAGAATTAAGAAAGTCTTCTCTGAAGTAAATCACAGCTTGTGGTAGAAAAATAAAACAAGACTGATTAAATAACTTGCTAACAGCTATTATGTGTATTGATGCTCAGACTGTAGTCAAAACAAATTAGGAGGATTGCTGGCAAGATGGCTGAATAGGAATGGCTCTGGTGGGCAGCTACCAGCAAGGTCAACACAGAAGGCAGGTGACTTCTGCATTTCCAACTGAGTGGCACCTGGATCGCCAGTGAGACAGAAACCTTCACTCTGCTGCTGGAATGGGGGCTGAAGCCAGGGGGCCAAGTGGTCTGGCTCGGTGAGTTCCATCCCCACAGAGACCAACAAGCTAAGATCCACTGGCTTGAAATTCTCGCAGGCAGCACAGCAGTCTGAGCATAACCTGGGATGTGCAAGCCTGGCTAGGGGAGGAGGCTCTGCCATTGCTGAGGCTCGAGTAGGCAGTTTTAACCTCACGGTGTAAACAAAGTCACTGGGAAGTTCAAACTGGGAGGAGCCATCCCAGCTCAGCAAGGCCGCTGCAGGCAGACTGTCTCACTAGATTCCCTCCTCGCTGGGTGGAGCATCTCTGAAAAAAGGCAGTAGCCCATCAGGGACTTATAAATAAAACCCCCACCTTCCTGGGACAGAGCACCTGGGAAAAGAGGTGGTTGCGGGCACAGCTTCAGCAGACTTAAATGACTATGCCTTGCAGCTCTGAGGAGAGCAGCGGATCTCCCAGCATAGTGTTCGAGCTCTGATAAGAGACAGACTGCCTCCTCAAGTGGATTCCTGACCCCTGTGTATCCTGTCTGGGAGACACCTCCCAGTAGGGGCCGGCACCTCATACGGGAGAGCTCTGGCTGGCATCAGGTGGGTATCTTTATGGGATGAAGGTACCAGAGGAAGGAGCAGGCAGCAATCTTTGCTGTTCTGCACCTTCCATCAGTGATACCCAGGTAAACAGGGTCTGGAATGGATCCCCAGCAAACTCCAGCAGACCTGCAACAAAGGTGCCTGACTGAAAGGAAAACTAACCAATAGAAAGGAATAATTTCAACATCAACAAAAAGGACGCCCACTTAGGGATCGCATCTAAAGGTCACCGACTTCAGCAAACAAAGGTAGATAAATTCACGAAGATGGGGAGAAACAAGCGCAAAAAGGCTGAAAATTCCAAAAACCAGGATGCCTCTTCTCCAACAGCCCACAACTCCTTGCCAGCAAGGGAACAAAACTGGATGGAGAACCAGTTTGACAAATTGAAATAAGCAGGCTTCAGAAGGTGGGTAATAACAAACTCCTCCACGCTAAAGGAGCATGTTCTAACCCAATGCAAGGAAGCTAAGAACCTTGAAAAAAGGTTAGATGAATTGCTAACTAGAATAACCAGTTTAGAGAAGAACATAAGCTGATGGAGCTAAAAAATACAGCACGAGAACTTCGTGAAGCATAAAGAAATTTCAACGCTGAATGGATCAAGTGGAAGAAAATATATCAGAGACTGAAGATTAACTCAGTGAAATAAAGCGACAAGACAAGATTAGGGAAAAAACAGTGAAAAGAAATGAACAAAACCTCCAAGAAATATGGGATTCCATCAAAAGACCAAATCTATGTTTGATACGTGTACCTGAAAGTGACAGGGAGAATGAAACCAAGTTGGAAAACATTCTTCAGGATATTATCCAGAACTTCCCCAACCTAGCAAAGCAGGCCAATATTCAAATTCAGGAAATACAGAGAACACCACAAAGATACTCCTTGAGAAGAGCAACCCCAAGGCACAGAATCATCAGATTCACTAACGTTGAAATGAAAAAAAAAAAAAAAAAAAAAATGCTAAGGGCAGCCAGAGAGAAAGGTCAGGTTATCCACAAAGGGAAGCCCATCAGACTCACAGCGGATCTCTCAGCAGAAACCCTACAAGCCAGAAGAGGATGGGACCGATATTCAACATTCTTAAAGAAAAGAATTTTCAGCCCAGAATTTCATATCCAGCCAAACTAAGCTTCATAAGTGAAGGAGAAATAAAATCCTTTTCGAACAAGCAACTGTTGAGAGATTTTGTCACCACCAGGCCTGCCTTACAAGAGCTCCTAAAGGAAGAACTAAACATGGAAAGGAACAACCAGTACCAGACGCTGCAAAAACATACCAATCTGTAATGACCATCGATGCTATGAAAAAACTGCATCAACTAATGGGCAAAATAACCAGCTAGCATCATAATGACAGGATCAAATTCACACATAACAATATTAACCTTAAATGTAATCAGGCTAAATGCCCCAGTTAAAAGACACAGGCTGGCAAATTGGATAATGAGTCAAGACCTATCAGT